ACATAGGTTCAGAAGTCGATTCTTTAAGTAAAAGAGTATCACCTTCCAATATTTGATCAAAACCAAGAGGCGCAACATCTCCTCCAACTTTGAGTCCTGCAACTTTTTTACACCTATTCGTTCCTCTCACTTTTTTTACCTTTTCAGATTCACATAGCCCTGCAAATTCCAATATAAGTCAAATGTCTTGTTTATTACAACTTTCATCCTTAACCAAATGTATCATCATTTCAATAAAATTAAATATTTTTCTAACTTTCCTTTAGTGAACCAGTGCTCAACAATTTAATTAACTATACTATATTTTATCCAAAAACCAATTCACTAACGAGTAATTGAATTTTTGAGCTTTGGTAGCCAAACTGGTCAGACAACAACAACATCAGCCCAGTGTATTTAGGGATACCAAATGGGGCGGGGCGGGGCGGGGAAGGGTAGGGCAGGGCAGAGCAAAACCAGGGCAGTGCAAACTTTAATGGGGTTGGGCAGGGCGGGTCAAAACACATTTTCAGAAAATAGTAAATGAGGCAGGGCAGAGGTAGGGCAGGATTTTAGCTGCAAACACACTTGTGTACAGACTGCCTAAGAAATTTAATTAACTGCCTTCCATAAGTTAGCAAAGTTAGCTACTAAAGCTGCCCAGACATAAAACATACTCACTGTGTCCAGCCAAAAATCCGATGCTTAAGCAACTGTCTCAAATCCTGTTTGCATCCAATGTTCTCATCTTTTGTCAAAAAGCATCAACTCTTTGTTGGCTCTGTTGAGATTCAATATAGGCCATAATATCGTCTGCTACGTACTTCACATCTCATCTTTGTTAGTCGTTAGCTTGTTTTACTATCTTAACAAATGCGTCTGATCCATCTGTCAGATTGTATTATAGTTTCACTTATATATGTTTAGACTATAACCTACCACATGAATTGATGAATTGCTAGAGGAAATGGTAGTTCTTCTTGAAACCTTACTACGACATTGGATGTAGAATTGAAACAAGTAAGGGGTGAGATTAGCCCCTGCTTTTCAAAACAATTAAAAACAGAACTAATAAGAGTCAACAAAATGTATGCATAGAGTAAAATCATTTTTTTGTATTATAGATAATGCCAAATGGAAAAATGATTACTCCTTACTACAAAGTTGACAACCTCCAGAATTTCATACACAGACTACAAAAGCCAACAATGTTTATTACTCATAAAAGTAGANCTACGTACTTCACATCTCTATCTTTGTTAGTCGTTAGCTTTGTTTACTGTACTTAACAAATGCGTCTGACTCCATCTGTCAGATTGTATTATAGTTTCACTTATATATGTTTAGACTATAACCTACCACATGAATTGATGAATTGCTAGAGGAAATGGCAGTTCTTCTTGAAACCTTACTACGACATTGGATGTAGAATTGAAACAAGCAAAGGGTGAGATTAGCCCCTGCTTTTCAAAACAATAAAAAACAGAACTAACAAGAGTCAACAAAATGCATGCATAGAGTAAAATCATTTTTTTTGTATTATAGATAATGCCAAATGAAAAAATGATTACTCCTTACTACAAAGTTGACAACCTCCAGGATTTTATACACAGACTACAAAAGCCAACAGTGTTTATTACTCATAAAATTAGAGAGACAGACATTACCATTNACAACTCTTATTGACATGTAAATTCTAAATATTTCAATAGAAAATTGAAAAGGTAAAAGAAATTAAAAGCATACTACAAAATAAAAAAATAAAGAGGAAAAAATAAAAAAGAGTCTAAACGGGCCAGGGCGGGCGAGGCAGGGCAAAATTCTGATAAAAAGCTAAACGGGGCAGGGCAAGACGAGTCAAAATTTTAGCGGGTCAAGGCATGCCCTACCTCATGCTAAAACTAAAAATTGAATGTTATGACTAGTAATTACCTGTTCACGATAATGGAACAAACTTATATTCCAACGAGGGCTGAAAGCATCTAAGAACTTCCTTAAAGCTCCAGGCTTCTCAGTAAATATGAATTGACAGAAAATCTCATTACTATGAATATAAGGATTAACGAGAGATTGGTTTCTATAAAACTGTAGTACATGTAATTATATAAAAAAAATCATTACCTGAAAAACAAAGAGATAATTAGAATATAAAAAAGTGTCCAATTTCACAATAGTACTGCAAGATTAGAGCTTACTTGAGAAGAAGAATAATGAAACCCTAGGTTGTAGAGAGGAACACAAGCCCTGATGCTTTACAGAGTTCAATTGTAATTGATCTATGATAAAATAGAAGGAAAAGTGGGTTGGGATAATTATGGGTGGGCAAAAAAAGAGGAAAAAGTGACGTGAGTGGGCTGATTGTGAGTTGGGCAAAAAGATAGGAAAAGTGAGCATTGTTTTTATTATTATTATTATTATTATTATTATTATTATTATTATTATTATTATTTTTAACGACCGGATTCATGACTTTTAAGGACCAAATATTATCCCTTTGTTAATATTGAACTAAATATTAACTTTAACGATCGGAAAAAAATGTGATCACTATTGGTACACCTATAACGACCAAATTCATATCCCTTCGTTAAAAATGATCGTTAAAAGTCAAAATTCTTGTAGTGATGTCTAAATTATTTGTTTTCATTTTAATACCTAAGTAGCGATTCTTATCTTTGTTGTACTATAGTTCGGTTTTGTTTACTAACATGTGCTTTAAATTGGGTAGCAAAAGGTGGTTATCAAATTATCCTTGAATGGGAATGATCAGAAATATCGGTCCAGGGCCTTCAAGATTGCTGTTTCTCAGCCAGGTATATATTGATTATTTGTTTCCTTTCGATTCAGTTCTTTATTTTAATGGTTTCAATCAAAATATTGTGAAACTCATTAGGATTAATAATATTGCTCTTCTTTTACTTAGGTGTGGAATCAGCAGCTACGAGAGGGGATGAGAAAAATCAATTAGAAGTGGTGGGAGATGATATTGACGCTGTGACACTGACAAATTTGCTCAGAAAGAATTTGAGGCAGGCGGAACTGGTCAGCGTAGGCCCTGCTTCTGCTGCTGGTGGCGGCAATAAAGACAAAGCTGGTTCTGATACGAAGCCTCAAGCTTCTGCTGCGGCCATGGCACAGTGGCAAACTCCCTATTACTATACCTATCCTCAGTACCCAGTTTATCAAGTTAGAGATTCATATGATCATCAACCTGACTGTTCTATTATGTAAACACAAACGTGGATTGTATTATCCCACTGTGAACATGTAATGTGTGTGTAAAGAAAATGTCGTAGAATTGAAAATTAATGAAGCTTGGCCAGCATAGACTGCATATAAATGCTACACTAATTCTTATTCTTGTCGCTTGAAGTGGGCATACAAATGAGTGCGACTAGATTATTAGATGATGTATTAATAAATTACGTTATATAGTACTACTAATGGAGATGATGTGCATACTACATTTTATACGTAACAAAGAAAAAACCATACAGGAAAAAAGTAAATAAACATGTGCGTGACAGATAGACGAGCAGAGAGATTTGCTTTTTCAGCATTTGAAACAAATTAAAAAAGAAAGTAAAGTAAGAGACACGAACTAAAATGGATATATATATATATATATATATATATATATATATATATATATATATATATATATATATTGTGTGCATATTTTTAAAACTATTATTTGCAATCTTAACGATTCTATATGGTTGTTATAGAGGGGTAATTTTATAAAGAGCGTTCTGTTATAAATATGTTTGTTGCTGTTATAGGTATTAAAACTATTATAGAGAGGCAAAATATAGCTTAAAATGTCGTTTCTGAGAAAAACTTGACTTTTATAGTGAATGACTGTTATATAGAGATGTTATTATAGAGATGTCTGACTGTATATAAAATATATTAGTATTTACTTTTTAAGCTAGAGTTTTTTATTCATAATAAAGTATTATTTGTCATTTCAGTACTGTTTATACATAGCTAGGGAGGGGAGAATGGGTGCATGTACCTCACCCCCTCCACATAAATACGCCCCTGCTCTACCTTACTCATTCCCGTGTAATTAGCTCCTATGGCAGCAGTGTGTTTGCCACTTAAAAGATGCTCCAAATTGACAGGTGAAACAACGGGCTCCATAGCAACTTTAGCAGGGGACTGATAACTAGGGATTATGATGCATTTTACATTCCTTCTTGCTTAAGTTTTGATTAGAAATGTGTACAAAAAAGTCCCAAAAGCTCACAAGTTGTGCTTGATTGCAGGTTTGATCATCAAGGTGACAAGGTGTCAAAAACCAGCTCAAAAAGGAGTGAAACATGCACAAGTACCAAGATAAGACCAAGCTCAGTAAAAAAGGGCCAGTGCGGCCGCACACTATTCTGTGCGGTCCGCAAGGATGAAGTTCAGAGACTATGTTTTTCAGGCCATCAGGCAATGCGGCCGCAAAGAGTTTTGTGCAGTCCGCATTGGGTTCATTGCGGCCGCACTCAATTTTGTGCGGTCCGCAGAGCCAAGGTTCAGAGAGATGACAATTGGAGGATTATGGCCAATGCGGTCCGCGTTTCATTTTGTGCGGACCGCAATAGGAGCCACCGCGGCCGCGGTGCATTTTGTGCGGACCGCGGTGGCCATGATCAGAGAGCAAGAATTCTAGCTGAAAGCCTTAGTGCGGTCGCACTCGATTTTGTGCGGTCCGCACTAGCCCCGTAGGGGTATTTTTGTCCAAAATTTTCGGCCTAGTATAAGTAGTTTCTTTTCCCATTTTTAGGTCATCAGTTAGATTCTAGGACAGAGTTGAGCTCGTGAATAGGCTTTTCTTGCCATTTGGAGTAATTTTACAATAGTTTTACCATTGATTCTTCAAGTTTTAATTAGTAATTTAATTTTATGGGTTTATCTTCATCTATTTCTTTGTTTTTCTCTATTAACATGAGTAACTAGACCCATCAGCTAGGGTTGTGGGTCAACCCTAGTATGGGTAATTGGTGGGTCTTGTGTTTTAAGGTTTGAATGTCAATGGGTGTTTGATTATCTATCTAAGTAGTTTTGTGAATTGTTCTTTTTTTCTTCTGTGATACTAATTTGTGTGTGTCACAACTACAGGTGCAAAATGGCAGCAAACATCAATGACCCTCTTGGCAATGTGGTAGCGGGGGAGGAGGTAGATGATATTGGAGATGATGAGGTGCCTCTTGTACCTCAAGGACAACATAGAGGCCGCCAGGCCAATGCAAATGAAAATGTTCCAGACCCTCCTCTTCCACCTCCAAGAGTGGCTCCTCGAGTACTTCCCAAGCTATGCGAGTGCAATTGTCCTGCCCCGGATCCAGGCGGGCAATTTTTAAATTACTAATGTGATGCTGACATTGCTAGAGCAGCGGGGGTATTTCACCGGTGCTTCCTCTCAGAATGCGTACAAACATCTCAAGGGGTTCGTGGATACCTGTTGGGGGAGCAAGCAAACCAATGTGTCCGAGGATGCACTTCGATTGAGACTCTTCCCATACTCACTTAGAGGGAAGGCATTGGATTGGTTTGAGCGACTTCCCAACCGTTCCATCACCACTTGGGATGAGTTGGCGGATAAGTTCATTGCCAAATTTTTCTCTCCGGGGCACACGACAGCATTACGGGACGAGATCTTAGCTTTCAAGCAGGAACCCACCGAACCATTACACAAGATTTGGGAGAGATATAGAACTATGGTGAAGGAATGCCCCAACAATGATATGAAAGAGGCAATGATACAACAAACCTTCTACGGGGGCATCAATACAACGAATCAATGCATAGTAAATCAATTGGCTGGGGGTAATTTCATGAAGCTGCCTTATGATGAAGCTTGTGCTATTCTTGATGAAATGGCTGACACATCCTCCACTTGGCAAAGTAGGGCCAATGTGCCACAGGGTGACCCCACGGTCACTCACGTGCACAAAGAACTACATGACTATGGACAGGCTATAGCAGAACTTACAACAACAATGAACCAATTAGCAAAGGCACAGTTGCAACAAGTTCAAAATCCTCGCCAAGTAAATGCCATAGAGGGTGTCAACATGCTAGTGAACAATAGAAGACAAAGAGGTCAACAGAACCAAGGGAGTTCGGATCAATTTGACAATGATTGTGGTGGATTCCAAGACGATGGTTATGATGGGCAGAATGAAGAGGTACAATATGTGAATAATTATCAAGGCCAAAGAGGCAATTCTTCTAACCAACAGCAACAATGGAGATCCCAGGGCAATTGGAATAATCAGCAACAAGGGAACAACAATTGGGAAAACAATAATCAAAATCCAAATTGGGGCAATCAAAACAACAATCGAAGCAATCAGGGAAACTGGGGCAACAACAACAATTGGGGTGGAAACAACAACCAGGGTGGATGGAACAACAACCAAGGAAATCAGGGGCAAGGCTTTTAAAGGCCCCCAATGTACCAACAACCGAGCAACCCACCACCTTTTCCATCCCAGGGTCCTAGTTCTTCCAACAATGAAATGGGGAGAATTGAAATGATGTTTGAACAGATGATGAAAAAGAATGCTGACTCCGATACGCAATTGGCTTCTCACAACACTTCCATCAGAAATTTGGAGGTTCAGCTAGGCCAAATCTCTCAGTCTCTGAATACTCGCCCTAAGGGGGCTCTACCGAGTGATACGGTGGTTAACCCAAAGGGTGGGAACAATCATGTTATGGCAGTAACTACAAGGAGTGGACGAGGCGATGATGTGAATGCCTCCAAACAAGAGCAAATTTTGAGTGATGAAGTTGAGTTGCAAGAAGATGAAGTTCCTTTGGTGGTTGATAATGTGATTGATGAAAAAGAATGAAGAAGTGAGGATTGATGTTTAAGATGCCGAGGTGGAAACACAGAATGACGTGAACCCGTCTAGGGAACACGTAATAGGCATGCCGGAGCCGGTTGTGCCAAAAGCCAAGACACCCCTGCCTAGGCCACCTCCACCTTATCCTCAGAGGCTAGCAAAGAAGAAAATGAGAATTAGTTCAAAAAGTTCATTGACATGATGAAGAGCTTATCCATTAATGTGCCTTTAGTGGAGGCTTAGGAGCAAATGCCTGGCTATGCTAAATTCATGAAAGATTTGGTGACGAAGAAAAGATCCATGGACTGTGAAACTATTAAGATGACCCACCAAGTTAGTGCTATAGTACATTCAATGGCCCCGAAATTGGAGGATCCCGGTGCTGTCATCATTCCTTGCACTATTGGAAGAGCAGACTTTGCTAAAGCTCTATGTGATTTGGGGGCGAGTATCAACTTGATTCTCTACTCTATTTTCAAGACTTTGGGGATTGGACAGCCGAGACCGACTTCCATGAGGTAGCAAATGGCAGATAGATCGATGAAGAGGCCTTTGGGTATTATAGATGATGTGCTTGTCCGGGTGGACAAATTTATCTTGCCAGCTGATTTTGTGATCTTAGATTGTGAGGTAGATTATGAAGTCCCAATCATATTGGGGAGACCTTTCCTTGCTACGGGGAAGGCCTTAGTTGTTGTGGAAGCAGGGGAACTCACTTTCCAGGTGGGTGATGAAAAAGTGGTATTTCATGTGTACAAGTCAATGAAGCAGCCCAATTGTACAAAAATGTGCTCATTTGTGGATCTTGTCACGGCTGTGATAATTGATGATACTAGTGCAACGATCAATGTGGAAGACCCTCTGGAGGCCATATTGTTGAATCTTGATGTCAATGATGATGAGGGCCGAGTGGAGTGCGTGAATGTTTTACATGGAATGGGCTCTTATTCTTATGAGCCTAGGAAACTCTCTTGGATCTTGAAAATAGAAAAACTCCTCCAACAAAGCCTTCAATTGAGGAGCCTCCGGTGTTGGAGTTGAAGCCATTGCCTCCACACCTCAGGTATGAATTCTTAGGCCCTAATTCAACTTTGCCGGTTATTCTTTCCTCTTGTCTTACTAACATGCAGGTAGATGCCACATTGGCGGTGCTCAAAAAGCGGAAGAAGGCAATTGGATGGACTTTAGCTGATATTCGGGGAATAAGCCCCGCATTCTGTATGCACAAGATTATTCTTGTAGATGATGCAAAACCCTCCTTGGAACATCAAAGGAGGTTGAACGAGGCAATGAAAGAAGTTGTAAAAAAAGAGGTGATCAAGTGATTAGATGCCGGGGTTGTGTACCCTATCTCTGACAGCTCGTGGACTTCGCCGGTGCAGTGTGTGCCGAAGAAGGGTGGTATGACTGTGGTGACCAATGCTAATAATGAACTAATTCCAACTCGGACAGTTACCAAATGGAGGGTGTGCATGGACTACCGCAAGCTGAACAAGGTGACCCGCAACTCACTTCCCATTGCCTTTCCTTGACTAGAT